TTTAGCTCCTGACTTTAGTTGCATTGATCATACCAGTGAATGTTTCATGTTTTTTTTTAGTAAGAAATGACAGTCCCAACTCATCTAGGGAATTTCTATGCAGAACTTTTCCAAAGCAGAATTTGAGCCTATGGCTTAGGGCCAGCTTTATAATTTTATGGATTTCTACTATTCACACAGCTATTTAAATCCAGGAATTAATGAAATATTGATCTTCATAGGATTGTCATATTGCTGTGTTGGTAAAAATCTACTAAGTGATTTGAATTGTTCAGTTAGAGACTTGTCCAGAGAGGAAATGGGAGACCTCTTTTAATGCCAAAACAGTAGAGTCCAGAACTGTTGATGGCTGTTTCTCTTTTCCCATTTTAGCCCTGGGGGGAGATTGACACTCTTCATACCTGGACCTCTAACGAATGCTTTTTCTTTTTATATCCTCTTCTAGTTTTCCCTGTTTGAATGTCTTTTCATTGTTCTTGTTCTTGACAACTTCTCATCTTGTTTTTTTTCATCCCTTTGATTAGAGACAAATTAAATGATGATAATTAACTTGGGTAAGACAAATTACAAACCAAAGAAATAATGATACTGTGTGGTCACACGATGCACCCAGGAGAACCAGATGTATTTTACTTAAATTTTTGTGGTTTGTTTATTTGAAATTCTACTCAATTATCAAACCCAAGAATGTGCTTATCTGTACTATATAAAAGAGAAGTGATTTCTCAGAGATCATTCCACAAATGTGGGATAAAACTCTGCAATCTCCTTATTTTGAGTTTAAAAGGGTAAAGGTATATGTAAGGATATCTGATTCATACACATGTATATTTCTAGCTCCACATGTGTATGGAACCTGGTCATTATGCCCATAATATAAGGAAGAGGATGCCTTATGCAGGTGATTACCAGAAGAACTCTGTCTAACTGGTAGCTAATCCCAGACATGGAGTCCAGAGTATGGTACAAAACACCTTTCCTGTTCCCATAAGACACCTGGTTCCCCAGCTGTGGGCACTGGACTGGCAGCATCAGCATCAGCTGGGAACTTGTTAAAAGTGCAGATTGCAGGCTGTGACCCAGACCTGCTACATCTGAAACTCTAGGCATGGGGCCTTGCTCCCTGTTTTATTTATCAAGTCCTCCGGGAGATTCTATGTGCACTAAAGCTGGAGAACCACTGAAGTGGGCAACCTTTGAGGCTTTACAGAAACCACCAATGCCGGTAGACTCCCCAGAATGCCTGCCCTCCTCAAGTTTTCTTGCTTTTCTTTTCTAACACCCTTCAGTCCCTATGGTGTCCTGGCTGCAACTTGTAGTCTGTCCCCCTACCCCCGGAACCCCCATAGCAGCTCCTGCCCACCTGGCTTCAGGACCTGGCTCAGTCTTGTTGGGCACGACTTTATGTTCTTTGATGGAGAGCACCTCTGTCTCACTTGCTAGTATTGATCATTTCTCCTAACAATAAATCAGTGCCTTATTGTGTAAAACAGTTCACTTCAGAGGAGCAACCAAGACGGGAGGACTGAGATCCACAGCCCTAGCACATAGGCTGTAAGTGGAGCAGCCATACTGGGACAATTCTGGTTTATCCCCCCTTGTTCCAGCACAATTAGTAATACCACTCCCTTTCACTCTTTTAAGTGCTCTAGTTTAGCTGGTAAGTTACGTTACAGTGAACTTACATCATAAGTAGTTCTAACACTTGGAAAGTGGTCAAAGAAGGATTCACCAAGAAGGACATGTTTTAGGGAATAAAAATGAAAGGTATCCTATTGCAATAGATAGGCAAGACCGGACTGGAGGCTGGGGTAGGGCACGGCAGAGAAACCTTACAGAATGAGAGTTCAGGACAAATAAGGTTGTGAAACATCAGATTAAGGGACTAAGGTAAGTGGAAGTAGTTCAGAGTCTAGAGCCAGGGTCCAGTGGGAGCAATAACAGAAGAAGCTGGGGGCAGAGGAGTGATCTGAGGTGAAGTCTTTGAGGAGAAAGGGCAAATTGTGTTTCCTATTAGTCCCCTGATAACATACCAGTGTAGGCTCTTTCAGATAATTATTTAGAAGAAACCTAGTATGTCTTTGTTTCCTTATTTATGCTGATTCTGTGTGTTTGAAATCCTTGTGACTATTTTCCATCAATTGTGGACTCTTTCAACAACCAATCATTGTATAACATAGCAGAATGATCATTTACTTTCACCTTTGGTTCAGATTTTCAAATTCAGTTAGAAAAAAAGATCCCAAATGATTCACACTCCATAATGTTTTATGCCTTTATCAGAGCAGAATGCTAAGGCTGGACTACTGAGATATGTGGCCCCGTCGAGAACAAAATGGTGGGAATTAGGCAAATACCTTACTAATGTGTTGTGTAACTGTTTTTTTTTTTTTTCTGAGTGTTAATACAATTAAATGAATTCTACTGTTTTAAATGTAGCTCTGAGATCTTGGAAGCTGCTGCAAAGTGTATGTTCTGTGGCATAAGGAAATATTTTAAAAATTGTATATTTGATTTTACACAGCTAGCTAATGAATTTTTATTGATGAGCATCGGAGAAGTGTTCAGCATTAACAAAACTTGAAAGGCTCTGCCCTGAAACTTGCATGTAAACTGTCCTGTTAGCCACTGAATATCACTGTCTTCTTCACATAGACTTCTTGTCACTACCCCTCTCTGTTTATGTATGGACAGTATAGACATCATTCCTCTTTTTCTTTTCTTTTTTTTTTAACCAGGGCTAATATATCTCCTTTTCCCTCTTACCATCTGGAGTAATGAATTTTAAGAAAATAACCTTAATTATTCCATTCATTGTTGCATTTTCCTAACTATTAATACAGAATATATTTTAGAATGAATAGCTGTCTGAAAATGAAAAAGAACAATAAATTCCTCCGTTATTTTTTGTTTAAATATCACATGACTAATTAATATATTTATGAATGCATTTAATTAGATATATATGCCTTGAAAACAGGTAGCAATTAATATTCTTTTAATTTTTTTAATCTCTAATAAACATAGCTAACTGAAAAATGAGGTTAGCCTAGGGTCCTTTACTAAGATATAGATGAGGAGATATTAATTATTCAGTATGCCACAGAATATCTGATTTTTACTTTACTTTTTTAAAACCACATATACTTTAAGTTGAATTTCATATCAACATGTTTGTAGAGTTAACCTCTACATGAATTTCATAAGTAATACATTTTTCTACTTATAAACACAACTGCTTACAACTCTGTTTTCTTAATTATTTTTTGACCCAACAATTATGTTTGTTTTGGGAGATGAGAAAGGCACCAAATGTTAGGTGACAAACTAAGAAAGTAATACAAACTTTTTATAGAAATAACTGAAGGATCTCCAACTCCCGGTCTGAAGACTTGTGTCTCTTCCTTTTAAAAAATAGGATGAGAATCCCAGGTCTGTCTTTACTTACCACTCCTTCCCAGCTGAAGTTTAGAAATGCCGAAGTAGAAGCGGTGGCTGCGGTTTACTGTAAATCCTTAAAATGGAAAATTTCCCCTTGTATCGCAAGAACTGCTCCTTGAGGTCAGAAGACAATTGGTAAATTTATTTGATAAGCCGTAAACAGTGGGCGCTTCTAACAGGCATGGGGCGGGAGGACTTACCAGTCTTAAAGTTTTTCTGTTTCCATGTGTAGCTTGGGATTTGCAAATCATTTTTATAACTATTTTCCATACAGTTAAAGTCTTAAACTTTAAGCAAACAGGAATCTCAGAGCAAAAAGAAATAATAAATAGAAAACAACTCTAAGGGGGGAGGGCATAGCTCAGTGGTAGAGTGTGTCCTTAGCATGCACGAGGTCCCGGGTTCAATCCCCAGTATCTCTGTTAGAAAATACCTCTGAAGCCTGTCAGCTGTGCGAATGGTTTCTGCGTATCTCTGTCATCTGTTGATTAGATTTTCATTTTAGTATCTGTATCAGATAAGGGTTAACATCACTACTTTTGCTGTTAATAAATCCCCAGCTATAAAAAAGCAGCCTGTTCTCTCTGTTTACTTACAGCCTTAAAATTGGGGCCAACTTTTATGTTGTTTTCTTTGAATTTACAGTATGATTCTGGAATAGTATCATGTAACAATTCTCGAGGTACAGTTTTAAAGAATTGTGTGATTCTATGCACGATAATCCTAACCTTGCAAAACTAACGTGAAAGTAATCTCAAAAATCTGAGTTTGTCAGTATTTCTTCCATGTTTATTAGTCAGCCTAATTAAGGTAATGCTAAACCGACCTTTTTTTTTGTTCTTTTAGCAATTTTAATGTAACTTAAATCAGTTACATTAATCAGTAGAGATAGCCCTGTTTGTGCATATGCATCAGAGACAGAAGCTGTTTTAAAGGACCAGTAATTAAAATCAAATGTATCTTGTAATGTATCTTTTTTTTTTTCCTACAAAGCATCTATCATCTTAGGATCTCAGAGGCTTAAAGCTAATAATTAAATTTTATACTAGTGGTACAACATATGATTATTGTAGTGACAACTTTATAGGTGCAACAAATGGTGTTTAAACCAGTTGATTGGTGGCTTATTGAAATAACTTACACCCAGGCTGTAGATTTAGCAGTGGAGCTAATATAGTGCCTTCAACTGCAAATACTTTGACCATCAGAAAACATAATCTTCCCAGCAGTCTTTTTTATGTATGTATTTTTAAAATGTTCATATTTGTAATATATCCCTAAATTTGTTCATTGTATTTCTTGCCTCAGTAGTCTATGGAGGATTTGTAAGGAAAAAAATGTTGTTAATGTACCACACTGGGTACAATGTGATGTCCTGCAATGAAGGAAAAAGCATATAAAATGTGACTGAATAATAAGCACACAGATGTCGAGCACGCATAAATCTTTGCTTTATATCACCCTTCCCACTGTACTTACACTTTTCTCTTACAGCAGCTTTAATTGTTTCACAGGATTATTACTCCAAGTTTAAACTCACTTGACTTCCTACTTTGCAGGTCAGTTTCTTCTGGAAGAAGCTCGCCTCATAGAAGCAGCCGAGATGGCAAAAAAAGCAGCTGAACTGGACAGCACAGAGTTTGATGTGGTCTTCAATGCTGCCCACATGCTCAGGTTAGCTTTTGCCACTGTACCTTAAAAGACCCACACTATAGCTTTAATTATATAAAACTAATAGAATTAAATTAATTATATTAATTTCTGTACCGTGCCGCCTTATTGCACATTTTGAAAGAAAATTAAGAGAATTATGCTACTTAACCGTGTTAAAATTAGGTCTGTTTAATTCATTATTGTTTATGTGCACAGCACATGGGATATCTGAGCTTTTAGGACTCTCTGAAAATTATTAGGGTCCCTTTCCCCTTTCCTTCAAAAATTATTGGCCCTAAAACACAAAAAGAAAATTGCAAAGTTGAAATTAATATCTGTCTAGTTCAGTGTCTCCAAAGCTAAATATTATGTCAGTTAGTCAACTGCATCTCAGTATTTGTGATTTTATATTAATTATATTGACTAGGGCGTGTGGATACATTTTATTATGCTTGGTAGTGGAGCTGATTATAAAATACAAATATACTTAAGGCTTATGAAATTCTCAGAATGGCCCTATAATTGGCACTGCTGCTATATATTGAAACAATATGTTTTTAGACCATTAGTGCTTATGTTTTCAGAAAGATTATTTTAAAAGCTAATTACAGTAGTGGCAAAACGATTAAAAGGCAGATCAACAATTATTTTGTGAATATAAAATGAAAGTCAATGTGTTTAAAGATGAATGTTTTAAGAAACTCAAATGTTTTAAACAATTGTTTAAAAAGTATTATTCGTTCTATTAGCCATACATATACCCCTTTTCACACACTCTTGTCTGGATTTCACTTTGTTAAATCTCCACTTACATGCTTCATTAGGTGATGTTCACACTATGAGCTCTGAGCCTGGCTTCTAGGGACAAGTTTCTAATTACGTAGATTACTCTTACATGAGACGGAAAATAACAAAGGAGTTGGTCCACATTTAGATGGTTTTAAAACATGGACTTTTGAGAAAAGTAGAGGAACATTAAAAAAATTTTTTTTTGAGATCATTGTAGATTTGCATGCAGTTCAGAAATAACACAGAAAAGTTCCTATACCATTTATCTAGTTTCCCCAATGGTAATATCTTATAGAACTACCATACGGTCAGTCTCAAAACCAAGAGATTGATACTGATGCAGTCCACCCACTGGTTTTATTGGGTTTCCCCAGTTTCACTTGTACCCCTGTGTATCTTTGTATCTGTGTGTATTTACTTGTGTGCACTTTTATCACATGTATTGTTTTATGTATCCATCACTCCAGTCAAAATGCAGACAGTTTCCATCACCACAAGCATACCTCTTGTACTTTTATAACCACAGCCTTCTACCTACCCCTCTCCCCCAGGAACCAATAGTTAAAGCAAGTTTTATAGATTACCTTGGATTTATAATTTGAGATTATTGTTATAACTGTATTTTAGTGGTTTCCTCCTTGGCTTTTAGTAAGTTTTAAATAAAAAATTCAAAATTTATTTGAGTGGAAAGCATGTACTGTGAGGTTTCAGTTGCATACCCTCACTCCATATTAGTGCAGATATCTACAAGGAGAAATCAGGGTTCAATTTGTTGTTGATATATTTTTAAAATAAACTGTAGCTAGTTTGCAAGAACCTTCAATGGAAGGATAATTTTCAAAAGACACTGTAATTTTACATGACAAGGCTAGGTGCTGTTATTGGAAAGAGGACTTTTGTGTTCTTCATGAATAAAATACTGTGCTTTTAATCACAACAAAACATTTGCAAGGATGAGAATGCACAAGTTTCTACAAGCTAATTCATCTTAATAATAATAGATACTTTCATCAGCAAGGCGCTTTGCTACCTAGTAAATCAGTAGCTGAAATTCAAGGTCTACCAGTGGAAACACGTTATAAGAACATTATAAAAAATGTCCTTGTTAAATTTATCATTGGTAACTTTACCTTAGTTACCATAGTGCTAGAAACCAGCGGAAAGTTTTTGTTATACATTGGCAATGTGGAAATCTTTAGGATTTCTTTTTCAAAACCTTCTCTAGCTTTCTGCAGTCTGCATTCCTCGTTAACTTACATTCAGTCAGTGCCTTTCTATATTGATTGCAAGTATGACCACAGCAGCCTGGCCATATCATGTTCAACTCGGTGGCAGTCCCTATGAATGTTTTTACTTATTTTTTCATCTCTGACAAATTCAAGTATTTCTTGAATGCTTACTGTGCAAGCTGAACTCCAGCCTCTTTCTTTATTAATCAAGAGCATTTTGGACTTTGCTGAAAAGAATAAGAAAGGTTATTAGTTTTTCCCTTGAATACAGCCTTATCAGAATGGTTAGCTGCCAAGATTTTGCTTATTCAATGTTACATCTAACATGGCGCCCTGGGGATGCCAAATTGTTCTAAACTGCATTGGTATTAATATTTTCTTCAAGAGCTGTGTTCTTTTCTAAGATATTCAGAGGAGACAGTATTGGCAAGGTTTGGTGATCAGTTGGGTGTGAGAGAGGGCAGATGTCTCCCTGGTTGTGTCTTGGTTAGCCAGATTCATGATTGACCTAACATCCAAAATCAGCAATTTAGAAAATGTTACAGTTCAAGATAGGGTTTGAAGCACACTTATTTAACTTCTCTTTCCTTGACTATTTCTCAATGAAATGACCCAAAGAATCTATTAATGAGGAAAAAAACCTGTTTATCACAAATGTCAAGAAAAAAAAAGTCATCCTACTTGGAAGAGGCCATCAAGGAGCAAAATCTTTATCTTACTGGAACCTTCAAGAGGCTTGAAATTTCAGAAATTTCTAACAGACTCATTTAATTCCCAATCATGGATAAAGATCTTTTCTGTCTGGAGTTAAAACATTTCTAATTCCTGTTGTCACAGTGATTGGCAAGAACACTGTGTGATAAGGAAATACTGATGCTATTCACCAAATATATTTGGCCTTTCACCTTTGGAAGGCATAATAGGATTGCACTTTCTTGCCTTCTTCCAAGTTGAAGAACTTCGTAGGTCTTAATGAGGTCATTGTGTGTGAATGTGATGTATGTCACTTCTGAGCCAAAACTGTAAAAGTCAGTGCTTTTCCCTTTTTCTGCCTTGGAAATTGTGGAAATAGATGCTGAAATAAGCAAAGAGAGACAAACCTCCCCTCTCCCCTACACTGGATAGGCTGACTGAGTGCAAAATAAATTTTGTCTTAATTCACTGAGATTTAGGATGTGTTTATTATCGCAGGGTACCCTAACCTGTCCTAACTGATACAGAATATATCTGTGAAAATAAAATAGATTGGAAAGAGGAGCTATATAAAACATCATAAAATATTACTAAGCAAGTAATAGACTCTCTGAGTTAATAACTACAGTGAAGACAATGTATAATTAATAGATTGATAATTTACGTTATATATATTTTCCTAGAACTTAATGGAAAATACTAAAAACATGAAAAATGATAACTGAAAGGATGAAAGATTGAGGATAGATTGATAATAGTGTATATATACTCATATACATATGTTTGTACAATTATATGTAGTATATACAACTATAGTCATATAGTTAAATATATACACATATGTATAGTATATATGTAGTGTTTATGTAATATGTGATATATACTTTTGTCTGTGTATATATAAATATGTGTATAATTGTAAGCTGTATATATGGGTATGTAGTTATATACAGCATATATACATATATAATTTCATTTGTTTAGTTATATAAAGTTAATGTAAATAGAAAATTTCTGAAGGAGAACATGGAGCAGATAAGCAATCATCAACAAATAGAGAAAATTTCCAAGATAAGAAGAAAGTCTTTAATCATCATATTGAAAGCAAAATTAATGAAAATAAATCTGCTCCTAAAATTGTCTACTTGTATGGGTCACGGTTTTTACTTGCAAACAAAAGCATCCACTCTTGCCAGTTTAAGCAGAAACAGGATTTACTGAAGAGTCTTCTATAGCCCCCAGACTCTCCCACAGGCTCAAGAGCACTCTACACAGCCAGAAATAATGCCCAACCACCAGGCTTTCCTTGAGGCTTAGCAGCTTTTCCAGTCTGGAGCTCTCCCACCACCACCCACGAGGAACCAAGTAGAGCAAGCACCATGTTCGTTAGAAGATGATTCTTCTGGGTGCAGCTGTCTCCCCATGATGCTTTCATCTGACTTTGAGTCTTTTGAGGTTGCCTATGATTGGTGGAACCTGGGTCATGTGCTGATACCTTGGCTGAAAGAAAGTTGGAAGATGAGGGAATTTCTGGTTTCTGCCTGGTTCAGGAAGACAGGACCCACATTATGGCCAATTACCAAATATATTTCCAGGGAGGGTGATCACAGATGTTGAATGACCTCACATAATGAATGGTGACCACACGTGTTGACACTTCTAGTACTTAAAATAAAATGGAAAAAGTACTGAATGTTTCCAGATGAGAGCATAAAAAAAAAAAAAGCAGATTGGTTATCATCAAAGGAAAATATCAAAAGATTTTAAAATACTAAAACTAAGTAGAGGTATGTCTATAGAGTTGGGAAAGGAAATTATTGAATCAGTTATTCTGTTAGAAGCATGAATGGGTTTATTCAATTTTCTCCCAGAACTGGGGAAGCTAGAAAGTGCAGGAAGATATTTTACACCTGAGAGGAAGTCTAGAGGCACTAAAACAGACTTAACTTATTCACAGTTTTCATGGGCTGTGGTGGAAAGTTGTTTTTTTTTTTTAATCCACTTACAGGGTAATGAAGGAACAAAAGTAGCATTTATTGGAGTATCTCCTATCTGCCTGGCATCATATTTTTTATTTTATATGTCACCCTCTTAGTTATAATTGCATATATGTGAAATAGACACCACTATTCCCGTTTTACAGATGAAGAAGAGACTGAGGGTCAAAGAAGATTGCTATTTCCCACAGTTGGCAAAGCTGAAATTTAAACTTAGTGTATTCTGACCAAGTATAATACTGTTTTCACTGTGTCTCATTGGCTCCGTCATATCTTTGTAACTGGGGGATTACCTAGAAGCTGTGATTCCTCA